ATATCTACCATGTAAATACTCAACCAGTGATCACTTTAACATCTGTCTGAGATAAGCTGGGTGGAGGAAGGGAGAGAGAATGAGTTCTTCTCATTTTGTTGTTTGGGTGGAAGAGTGAGTCTTGGGTTCTAAATCTGGAGACTTTGGTACTGGTTCTGCCACAGACTGGCTGTATGACTCGGGATAAGTTAACTTCCTTTGAGTCTGTTCCTTCATTTATCAAACAAGATAAAAGCCAACAGGGGTCAGGTATGTGTGTTGCAGTGCATGTAATTAATTTTTTTCTTCATTTATGCACAGAGAAACTGACACTCAGGGAGGTTAAATTCTTGCCCCAAGGCACAAGACAAGTTTTGTGTTGTGCCGGATGGTCCACAAGGTTTGGGGCCATCAAACTTAGCTATTCACGTCTATGTTCAACATCACAGACCCAGTCCCAGCATATTTGTGTCAGGGAAATTCATGATATGGGGCTGCTCAGCTCCTCCCATTTTACTAATAGCAAAAACTTAGGCCTAGGCAGGGTAAGGAACTTACTCAGGATCACCCAAGATAGTGGCCTCAGTGGACCATGAACCCTTCCAGCCCAGGACCCTTCCAGCCCAGAGAGTCAAAGGCCCATCCCTGCCCTGGCATTGTCAATTGGCCTGCGGGTAAACGGTTTACACTTGAGTTTGGTCACAGCTCTGCTTTCCTTATATGCTTGTGTTTTAGTCCATTTGAGCCTCTGTAACAAACACCGTAGACTGGTTGGCTTATAAACAGTAGACATCTATTCCTCCCAGTTCTAGAGGCTGAACATTTGAGGTCAGGGTGCCAGCATGGTTGGTTTGTGGTGAGGGCCCTCTTCCAGGTTGCAGACTGCCAATTTCTTGTATCCCCACATGGCTGAAAGAAGGTGAGAGAGCTGTGAGGGGGAAGGGGAGTCTCTTTTATAAGGATGCTAATCCCATTCATGAGGGCCCTACCCTCTTTACCTGTTTGCCTCCCAAAGGCCCCGGTTCCAAATACCATTACATCATGGATTCTTTTTTTTTTTTTTGAGACACAGTCTTGCTCTGTCACCCAGGCTGGAGTGCGGTGGCGTCATCTCTGCTCACTACAACCTCCACCTCCTGGGTTCAATTCTCTCGCCTCAGCCTCCGTTGTAGCTGGAACTAGTCACCTGCCACCATGCCTGGCTAATTTTTGTATTTGTAGTAGAGACGGGGTTTCACTATATTGGCCAGGCTGGCCTCCAACTCCTGACCTTGTGATCCACCCACCTTGGCTTCCCAAAGTGCTGGGATTACAGACGTGAGCCACCACGCCCCGCCAGATTTTAATATATAAATTTTGGTGGGAGACACACATTCAGTCCATTGTAACTTGGACATTCAGGGTGCTTAGCCTCTGTGTTGCCGGGGCTTCATCAGCTCCAGCCAGCAGTTGAGAGGAGGATCCAGGAAGTCAGGATGTGTCTTCTGCTCATAAATACAAAACAGGCACACACTGGAGGCCTTCTAGGTGTTTCTCCAATGAGCCAGGTACTCTTTTCAGACCCTCAGCCCAATGAGGCTGTGGGAGCCAGCTCCCCTACCCTCTTGCTCTGCACTGGAGAAGGACAGGCATGCATAAAAAGCTGGTGCTCAGAGAGGAACAGAGAGGACACAAGTCTGTTGGCTGTCTCCATCTACCCAGTGGGCCTCTGGATATGGTGATTTAGAAAATGGATGATTTTTTTAAAAAATAAGTAGCTTTGAAAACTTCTTGTCCTCTCCTTTTTCCCACTAGGACCATCCTGACCGCGAACCTGTTTCAGTTCCTCAGGGGAACTGGAATGTCTTTGCAGTAGTTCTAGAGGTGGTCAGGGTACCTCCGAGAATCCCTGAGACTCCCTTTTCAAGGGATCTATGAGGTCAAAACCATTTCAGCAATAACACCAAGACATCATGTGCCCTTTTCATGCTCATTCTCTCTGAAGTTTTCCAGAGGCTACATGGCATGTGACATTGCAACAGACAGAATGCAGAAGCAGGGATGAGAATCCAGTCATCTACTCTTAAGCCAGACATGACAGAGATTTGCAAAACTGTAGGATGTATTCACTCTTATAGAAAACACTTTCATGAAAATGTTATTTATGTTAACATATCTTCATGAAAGAGTCATCCACACTTAGATTCCATGTTTAGGGGTGAAAGGAGCTGGCCCACACTACAGAAAAAACCATCATACCAATCAATCAGCCTGCCAGATGGTGTGGATTCCAGCTGAGGCTCCCCTCCCACCCCAAGCAAGTCACCTTCTCTCTGGTCCGCACAGCACTGGATTGTCCCAAGGGCCCTTCCAGATTCAGCACATTTTGACACTTTAAGGTATCTTCCCCCATCAAACTTGGGTGCTCCCTGCAAGTGAAGACCCTCTTCCCCTCACCAGCCCCATCTTTTCTGAACGTTAGTGACACGGGAACCATGGTCTATTCTGCAGCATTGTAGGGAGATTCCAACAAGATCGTGAATGTGACAGTGCTTTGAAAATTGAAAAGGACTAGATCGATACGAACTGTAACAAAGGGCTAAACAGCTAAGCATAAATATGGGCACAGCATACAAGAGCCAAGACAAACAAAATTTAAATGTCTCTTGTTAAAAGTGTTCTGGGATTTTATTAATTTATATCCACTGGCGGGGGGAAAAAAAAACAACTCTATGCCACCGTGTGTACAAAAATCTGAAAGGATCAGAAGTAATACATGTCTATGGCACGGGCTCAGGAATTTATTACTACTCCTTATTTAAAACACACTAGATTTTTTCCCTAATAGTAAAAATAACACGTGATAATTGCCGAAAATGAGAAATCTGGAAAAATCATAAAAAGGACACTAAGAACCCCCCCCATAATTCCATCCCCTGGAGATACCGTTCATATTTTTGGTATATCTCTTCTATACTTTAGCAAAAATCCTTATATGCCTTTTTCATGATTTCTAGTTTTTTTTGTCCTGATTTTTTTCTTTTCTTTCTTTTTCTTTTTTTCTTTTCTTTTTTTTTTTTTTGAGAAAGAGTTTTGCTCTGTTGCCCAGGCTGGAGTGCAGTGGTGCAATCTTGGCTCACTGCAACCTCTGCCTCCAGGGCTCAAGCAATTCTCCCTTCCCCAGTCTCCCAAGTAGCTTGGACTATATGGGTGCACCACCACACTCAGCTAATTTTTGTATTTTTAGTAGAGACGGGGTTTTGCCATGTTGGCCAGGATGGTCTCAATCTCTTGACCTGATGATCTGCCTGCCTTGGTGTCCCAAAGTGCTGGGATTACAGGCGTGAGCCACCGTGCCCGTCCTTGTCCTGCTCTTTAAACTTAACATTACGTTAGGAACACTTCCCCATGACATTACAAATTCTTTATAAATATGAGTGTAAAGACCACTTTCAGTTCAGTCCCAAACCTGAGGACGGAGTGGTCATAGCAGGCTGAGCATGATGTTGCCTGGAGGGAAAAATAAAGGAGACACAGGAAAAACAGAGGCAGGAGACTCGAGTCCACGATGCCAGGAAGTCAGGGGCTGAGTTTCTTCTGCGGGAGGGAGTTCCAGCTCTGAGCAGGCCCCTCCTCAAGTGGGGCTTTTCCTGCTTCATCCAAAGTCAGGCTGGAGATTTCTATGCATCTGAGATCAGGCCCAGACAATGTCAATGTCGGGAGGCTCTGACATGAAGGCCAGCCTGGATACAAAGGATTTCTAAACTCATGTCAGTGAGTAGAAAACATGATTCCATTTGCTCAATGGTTACACACACCTTTTCAGGTACACAGGTTAGCAGGAATCAGGGTCCTCTTGTAAAAACCTACTCTGGGGCTGGGTATGGTGGCTTACGTCTATAATTCCAGCACTTTGGGAGGCTGAGGCAGGTGGATCATTTGAGGCCAGGAGTTGGAGACCAGCCTGGCCAACGTGGCAAGGCTCCATCTCTACTGAAAATACAGAGATTATCTGGGCATGGTGGTGCACGCCTGTAATATCAGCTACTTGGAGGCTGAGGCAGGAGAATTGCTTGAACCTGAGAGGTGGAAGTTGCAGTGAGCCGAGATCACACCACTGCACTCCAGCCTGAATGGCAGTGCCAGACTCCATCTGAGGATTAAGCTCAGATTTTTTTTTTTTAAATCTTGCCCAAATTCCTATCTAAGGGATCTGGGGAGTCACGCCCTATAAGCCATAAAGTCTTATCAGATGAGTTTTATTTAACCCTGTATATAGTGATTACTTTCCAATCTGGCTCTGGGATAACAAGGAAGACACTCAAAATGTTTTACCCCAAAATATATTTCCTTTCCATACCTTGAAATTGCCCTGCAAAGTCTCTTGTGGGAAACATCCACATTCTATAGATAATCTCCTTTCGCCTCTATTTTCCTTCCTTCCTTCCTTTCCAGATCTAGGGGATAATCAACTAAGCCAGGGACCATTTTAAGACTCAGTAAGAAACATTTTACAACCTGCTCTCTCTGAAGTCTGCTATCCGAAAGCTTCCTTTGCACAATACAACTTGGTCTCCACAATCCTTCATCTTCACCTGAACATTTCTTTTCTGTTGATCCCAGGTCTTCAGATAAACTTAACCAATTGTCAGCCAGAAAATGTTTAAATTTATCTATAGCTTGGAAGCCCCCGCTGTGAGTTTTCCTGCCTTTCTGAACTAAGGCAATCTATTTCTTAAATGTATTTGATTGATATCTCATGCCTTCCCAAAATACATAAAACCAAGCTGTATCCCGACCACCTTGGGCATATGTTCTCAGGACCTCCTGAGGGCTGTGTCACAGGCCATGGTTACTCATATTTGGCTGAGAATAAATCTCTAAAAATATTTGGCTAGAATAAATCTCTAACAATACTTTGAGTTTGATTCTTTTTGTCAACACGTCTCAAAAAAAAAAAAAAAAGGAAGCTACTCTGAGTGGCTTTGGGTTTTTAGCTCTATGGATGAGTGAGGGTGTCAAAAAGAGAATTTACGCCTGGATAGTTGGTAAACATAGCGCTTTAAAGCCACCTGGAGCCTTCAGGTCATCAGCAGTTTCAGCCTTTGCAGGGCTGCTCATATTGGGTGGAACTGACAAAAAAAGGGGAGAGAGAGGAGCAAAAGGGCAGGCAATGCCCAAATGTAGTTCTAAGAGAAATGATTTGCAAGTTCAAAGTGCTCCTAGCTTTTTTGATCTGTAGAGTGCTTATTACATCATAGGGTAAGCGATGACAAAATAGCTAAGCTCTGAATCGATCAGCTTTCTGTACTTCCTGTAAATTTCCCGCAGGGTCCTGTCCTCTTCATTCGTCTCATATCTGTTTGTATAAATTCTCACCTGTGTCAACAAAGAAATACATGCACATATGAGCGTTCACACACATACATACACACACCCCTTGTGACTACAGTTTTCAGGGCTTGACAACAATTTAAATAACCTACACATACAGTTGTTGAATCGGAACATATGTTGACAAAATCAGGAAAAGACCAAACTCGACTACTAGAGAAGAGAGCTCCAAATTCCCTTCTGTGAAATTGCTGATTTCCAACGAACAGATGATCATTCCCCACTGCCTCACTCTGCCCTTCATTCCAGAGCAGAAGCACCATTCCTGGATGTTCCCACTCTACCCCGTGGACCCAGCCTGGGGGCCTCTTACCTTGAGTGTGCGCAGGGCACACTGCCCTTCTTCCTGACTCTTCAAGATCTGCTCCACAAACCTAACATCAAGGAAAGCCCAGATTTTGAAGTAAAACAACTTCCTGCAGGATAAGATGAGGACGTGCAGCTCCTCGTCGAGTGACTCATGGTTGTTGTTGAATTCAAAAGTTAATTTCTGGAAGAGCACCAAAAGGGAAGATGTGTGTGGGCAGAGATGCTGGGACTGGCTGGGTCATTTCCAGGACCTGGCCCTGGGCCTGATAGCCATGATGGTTTGGGGGCTTTTAATTTTAATTTTTCTGGGACATATATATATATGGGATATATATGATGGTATATATCACATATAACCAGAATATATAAGGTGCTCAAAGTCTGTTTTTATGCCAGTCTCATCCTGTTTTAGTGATTATAGCTCTGTCATATAATTTGAAGTCGGGTAATGTGGTTATTATGGTTTTGTACAGGGTATATATGATGTAGGCATACAATGTGTAATAATCACATTGGAATAAATAGAGTATCCATGACTTCAAGCATCTATCCTTTGTGTTACAAACAATCCAATTACACTCTTTTAGTTATTTTAAAACGTACAATTAAATGATTATTGACTATGACACCCTGTCAGTGCTATCGAATACTAAATCTGGTTCATTCTTTCTAACATTTTTTGTACCCATTAACCATCCCCACTTCCCTGTCCACCCCTTACTACCCTTCCCAGCCTCTGGTAACCATCTTTCTACTCTCTATCTCCATGAGTTAAATTGTTTTAATTTTTAGCTCCCACAAATTAGTGAGACCATACAAAGTTTGTCTTTCTGTGCCTGGCATATTTCACCTAACATAACGACCTCAGTTGCATCTATGTTATTGCAAATGACAGAATCTTATTCTTTTTTATACCTGAATAGTACTCTACTGTATGGATGTACCACGTTTTCTTTATCCATTGATGGACACTTAGGTTGCTTCCAAATACTGGCTATATGAACAGTGCTGCAATAAACATGAGAGTACAGACATCTCTTTGATATACTAACTTTCTTTCTTTGGGGCATACACCTAGCAGTGGGATTGCTGGATCATATGTCAGCTCTATTTTTAGTTTTATGAGGAACCTCCAAACTGTTCCCTACAAAGGTTGTACTACTTTAAATTTCCACCAACTGTGTGTGAGGCTTTCCTTTTCTCTACATCCTTTCCAGCATTTGCTATTGCCTGTCTTTGTAATAAAAAACATTTTAACTGGGGTGAGATAATATCTCATTGTAATTTTGATTTGCATTTCTCTGACGATCAGTGATGTTGAGCACCTTTTAACATATCTATTTTGCCATTTGTATGTCTTCTTTTGAGAAATATCTGTTCAGATCTTTTGCCCATTTTTAAATTAGATTGTTACATTTTTTCCTATCGAGTTGTTTGAGCTCTATATATTCTGGTTACTTATTAATCCCTTGTCAGATGGGTAGTTTGCAAATATTTTCCCCCATTCTTCCTGTGGGTTATCTCTTCACTTTGTTGATTGTTTCCTTTGGTGTGCAGAAGCTTTTTAACTTGATGTGATCCCATTTGTCCATGTTTGCTTAGGTTGCCTGTGCTTGTGGGGTATTACTCAAGAGATCTTTACCCAGTCCAACGTCCTGGAGAATTTCCTCAATGTTTTCGTGTAGTAGTTTCATAGTTTGAGGTCTTAGATTGAAGTCTTTAGTTCATTTTGATTTTCATATATGGAAAGAGATAGCTGTTTAGTTTGATTTTTCTGCATGGATATCCAGTTTTCCTAGCACCATTTACTAGAGACTGTCTTTTTCCCAATGTATGTTTTTGGCACCTTTGTCAGACATGAGTTCACTATAGATGAATGGATTTGTTTCTGGGTTCTGTATTCTGTTCTGTTGGTCTTTATGGGATTAATAAATAACCAGAATACATAAGGAGCTCAAAGTCTGTTTTTATGCCAGTTTCATGCTGTTTTAGTGAGTGTAGCTCTGTAGTATAATTTGAAGTTAGGTAATGTGGTTTCTACAGTTTTGTTCTTTTTGGGCAGGATAGCTTTGCTATTCTGCATCTTTTGTGGTTCCATATATATATATATAAATTTAAGATTCTTTATTCTATTTCTGTGAAGAATGTCATTGGTATTTTGATAGGACTGTATTGAATCTGTAGATGGCTTTGGGTAGTATAAACATTTTGACAATATTGATTCTTCCAACTCATGAATGTAGAGTATCTTTCCATTTATTGTGTCCTCTTCAATTTCTTGCATCAATGTTTTATAGTTTTCATTGTAGAGATCTTTCATTTCTTTGGTTAAGTCCTAGATATTTAATTTTATTTGTAGCTATTGTACACAGGATTACTTTCTTGATTTCTTTTTCAGATTATTCACTGTTGGCATATAGATATGCTATTGATTTTTGTATGTTGATTTTGTATCCTGCAACTTTACTGAATTTGTGTATCTGATAGGTTTTTTTGGTAGAATCTTTAGGTTTTTGCAAATATAAGATCACATCATCTTCAAACAAGAATTATTTGACTTCATTTTCTATTTGGATGCCCTTTATTTCTCTCATCTGATTGCTCTAGCTAGGACTTCCAGTTCTATGTTGAATGGCAGTGGTGACAGGTGCCATCCTTGTTATGGTCCAGATCTTAAAGAAAAGGTTTTCAGTTTTTCCTCATTCAGTATGATACTAGCTGTGGCCTATCATATATGGCTTTTATTGTATTGAGGTATGTTTCTTCTATTCTCAGTTTTTTGAGAGTTTTAATTATGAAGGGATATTGCATTTTATCAAATGCTTTTTCAGCATCAATTAAAATGATCATTTTTTTGCCCTGCATTTTGTTATGAGGTATCACATTGATTTATTTGCATATTTTGAACCATTCTTGCATCCCTGAGATAAATCCCACTTGGTCAGAATGAATGATCTTTGTAATGTGTTGTTGAATTTGGTTTGCTAGTAATTTGTTGAGGAATTTTCCATGATTGTTTACCAGGAATATTCACCTGTAGTTTTCTTGTTTTTGATGTGTCTTTATCTGGCTTTGGTATCAGGGTAATAACAGCCTTGTAGAATGAGATTAGAAGTATTCCCTCTGCCTCTATTTTTTTTTTTTTTTGAATAGTTTGAGTAGGATGGATATTAGTTTTTCTTTAAATGTTTGATGAAATTTAGCAGCACTACCATCAGGTCAAGGGCTTCTCTTTGCTTGGGGACTTTTTATTACAGCTTCTATCTTGTTACTTATCAATGGTCTGTTCAGGTTTTGGATTTCTTCATGATTCAATCTTGGTAGGTTGTATGTGCCTAGGAATTTATCCATAACTTCTAGGTTTTCCAGTTTATTGGGATATAGTTGTTCATTATAGCCTCTAATGATCCTTTGGATTTCTCAGATATTGGTTCTAATGTCTCCTTTTTTCACCTCTGATTTATTTGGGTCTCCTCTCATTTTTTCTCATTTTGGCTAATGGTTTGTCAATTTTATCTTTTCAGAAAAAAAACCTTTTCATTTGATGATCTTTTGCATTATTTGTTCACTTTCATTCATTCCTGCTCTAATCTTTACTATTTTTTCTCTTCTACTAATTTCAAGATTGGTTTGCTCTTGGTTTTCTTGGTTCTTTAAAGTGTATCATTACAATGTTTATTTGGCGTTTTTCTTCTTTCCTGATGTAGATGCTTATAGCTATAAACTTCCCTCTTAGTATTGGTCACTGTATTCCACAGGTTTTGGGATGTTGTATCTCCATTATCATTTGTTTCAAAAAATATTTCAGTTTCCTTCTTAATCTCTTCATGACCCACTGATCATTCAGGAGCATATTGTTTAATTTCCATATGTTCATATAATTTCCAAAATTTCTCTTGTTATTAATTTCCAGTTTTATTCTGTTGTGGTCAGAGAAGATGCTTGCTATAATTTCAACTTTTTGAATGCTTTAAGACTTTTTTGTGACCTAATATATGACCCATCCTTGTGAATTAACCACGTGCTAAGAAAAAGAATGTGTATTCTTCAACCATTGGATGAAAATTTCTGTAAATATACTTTAGGTCCTTTTGGTCTGTAATGCAGATTAAGTCTGCTATTTCTTTGTTGATTTTCTGTCTGGAAGAGCTACCCAACATTGAAAGTGGGGTGTTGAAATCTCCACCTATTATTATATCAGGGTCTATCGCTCTCTTTAGCTCCAATAATATTTGCTTTATATGTCTGGGTCCTCCAGTGTTGACTGCATGTATATTTACAATTGTTATATTCTCTTGCATAATTGACCTTTTTAGCATTATATAATGACTTTCTTTGTCTCTTTTTATAGATTTTGTCCTGAAATCTATTCTAAGTATAGCTACTCCTGCTTTCTTTGGATTCCACTGGCATTAAATATCATTTTCCGTCTCTGTTTTCAGTCTATGTGTGTCTTTATGGGTAAAATGTGTTACTTGTAGGCAACAGATAATTGAGTCTTTTTAAAAAAAGTCTGTTCAGCCACCTATGTCTTTTAATTGGAGAGTTTAGTCCATTTGTATTTAATGTCGTCACTGACAAGTAAGGACTTACTCTGGCCATTTGGTTATTTGTTTTCTGGTTGTTTTGTGGTCTTCTCTTCCTTCTTTTCTTCCTTCCTGTGTTCCTTTTAGGGAAGGTGATTTCCTCTGGAGGTATGTTTAACGTCTTGGTTTTTATTTTGTCTGTTGTATATTTTTAGATTTGAGGTTACCATGAGGCTTGCAATTAATATCTTATAACTCATTATTCTAAACTGATGACAACACTAATTGTATAAACAACTAATAAACAAAAATAAAATTAATAAAACCATTTTACTTTAACTTTGTCTCCCTACTGTTTAACTTTCTGCTGTTTTTATTTGTATCTTATTGTACTGTCTATGTCTTGAAAAGTTGTTGTGATTATTTTTGATAGGCTTATATTTTTGTCTTTCTACTTAAGATATGAATAGTTTACTCACTGTAATTCCAATGTTACAATATTCAGTGTTTTTCTGCATACTTACTATTACTAGTAAGTAATAGTAAGTACACATCTTGTACCTTCAGATGATTTCTTATTGCTCATTAATGCCCTTTTTCTTTCAGATTGAAGAACTCCCTTTAGCATTTCTTGTAGGACAGGTCTGGTGTTAATGGAATTTGGGGGCTTTTTAGATAAGGGACATTGGACATGTAATTCTTAGAGGAAGAGATTTGAGAATAATGGTGATTTCATCCAAGGTTGCAAACTTGAAATTTGGAGCAGTATACTTGGAGTATGCAAGGTGCTCATCCCAGCCCTGCACGACTGGCTGGGTGACTATGGGCTGGTCACTGAACCTCAAGTTCTTCTGTAGCACATAAGGATCATCATGATGTCTGCCCTACCTGCCTTAGGGTTATTTGGGTACCTAATGAGGTATTGGCACCTTGCAGTCCATCCATGTTTGTAGAGATACATAAACCTGTTAATATCAATGGTCACTGTTAGGGTCACAGCAAGGCAAGCCCCTAGACCCCCTCCTTATTCTCCCCTGCTAAGCCGAGCTCATAACAAAAACAGCCTCAAGCCTTGTAAACAGGGCACCTGGGTTCCAGGATGTGGTCACACCTGGCTCTCGAACCCAGGACATTAACCCAATTAAGCAGAATGTCAGCCCCTGAGAACCAAGATGAAGTTTTTATTAGAATAGCACCAGGCTACCTGCAAACCCCCTACATAACCCCCATATTTGGTAAGCCAGGTTGCTACCTTCACTGCCTGTGGTGAGGCAGCCAGCCTGGCAGGTTGAAATAAACTTGCAAAACCTGAGCCTGGGTCTGCCTCACCATCCTTTAGGTCAACCTTACAGTCACGACCACTGTGAGGTCCTTGGAAAGACAAAGTGATACTGATCTTACAGCTGAGAAACTGCTAGATCAGGGAGCAGCCCAGAAACTCAGCTCTTCAGTTGTCTAAATCAAATTGGGTTTTTGTTTGTCCTGTACCTCCCATTCTATCTTCCCAATGACCAGGCACTGGCACTGCTGTAACCAGGCAGATCCCCTGCTGAGATCTGGCCATAGGAGCCACAGGGTCTCCTACATGCTGCCGTGACCTGGTAGAAAGGTAGGAAGAAGCAGCACAACCACTATTCACCAGCAAGGCACCTCCAGGCTCAGGCTTCATAGCTCTGAGTGGGAATTTAGGGGCTTTCCTTGGCTGACAGCTAACCAGAAAATTCCCTGTGTCTGTGCCACATGGAGGAGGTGAGCAGCAGCTCTTGTTGCCTACCGTCATCTTGGGAGGAGGAGAGACGGCTTGGTTGGTGATATTTCCTAGAACTTCAACTTGAGATTAAGTGACATTTGGGATCCCATCCAAGAGTGGGCAGCAGTGGGCTTTCCTCTGGGGAAGCCAGTCACCCAAGTAGCAGTCACTCCTCACAAGTCCTACCTACCTGCAGAGTATGCCGGAAGGTGGGCAGGAGATCCGTCAGAGTGGGTCTCATGGACCAGTCTGGGTCACTGAAATAGCAGCTTCTCAGACTGAGACTCCTGACCGGGATCTCCCGCAAGAGGATCCGGGCCAAGCGCTCGTACTTCATGATCCGTTCAAAGAAGAAGTTCACCTTCAGATTGGTGGCCTGCCTGGCTAACTTGGCCCAGGACATACCCCAGACGACCTGTCCATGGGGGTCATGAATGTGGCATTTGATGTTTATGGTCCAGAGGGTACTGGCATTGTTCTCTCCCAAGTTCTCAAGCAGCTCATCGGAGATACAGTTGTAGTTGAGGGTCAGGGACACAAGACTGTGGAACGTGGACATGGTCTTTTTGAATTGGGGGCTGCTGTAGACAGCGAGGTGATGGCTGAAGTAGTCTTCGATGTTGAGCTCCGAGATCACATTCTCATTCCTCATGTAGCTGAGGGAGTTGAGAACGTGGCAGCCTTGCTCCACCGTCAGCCTGGCTCCTTTTAGGTTGAGATAATCCAGGTGTTTGCCCATCTTCTTCAAGAAGAAGCTCAAGCTCCTGACGAACGAGCTCCTGATGCTGTTCCTCCACACCAGGCGGTCCAGCTCCAGGTGTTGGATGGAAAGAGATTTCAGACGGTTGTTGCTTTTGCCCAGACAAGACAGAAGGCCCCGCATGGTGACCTGGAACTTCTTGGTCAAGACAGCATTGTAAGGATTCAGGAATTTGACCTCCAGGCGCTCCAGATAACGACCAAACTTCTTAACATACCAAAGAGCAGACTGAAATTCAGATGCATGTAACCTCGAAGGTCTCCCGCTGAAGGTGATGGTCCTGTACCGCCAGAGGTCAGCTGAATACATCATCTGGTTCCATTTTCTGCAGACAAGAGCAGCCCTGGACCTGTCCCTGTCTCCTAGCCACCAGAAAACACGGCGCAGGCACACATCAGGCAGACTGGCCCAGCAGCTCTGGTCTTCAGGCTGTATCAGTTCACTTTCTTCATCCATCCAGGAACTGGGATGAACGGTGCAGCTGTGTGTTAGGCAGGGCTTCCACAAACGAGGAAAGAAAAGCAATCACTTGCTTTCTGTGGAGAGTAAAAAGGAAGCGCCATTACTAGTCAAACAAATTAAACTCAAATGAAGCAGCTTTCCCTGCTGTCCCAAGTGTATTAGGCACCGTGCCAGGTGTGGGTGGTTCTAGGATAAAGTCATGGTACAGTCCACACCTGCAAGGACTTCACAGCCTAACCAGGGACACAGACCAGTTCAGTTACAACCCAGTGAGAGAGTGGGAAGGTTCAGGCAGACTCATAGTGCGGGGTAGCACACACGGAGGGTGACTTATTCTGTTCGGCTAAGGAGGAAGAAGAGAGGGCTGCTCAGAGGAGGTGACGTCTGAGCTGGGTTTTGAAAGGTGAGTAGGATTTGCAAGGCAGACCAGGTGGGCCTAGTGGTAGTGGTGGAGGAACTGATGCATTCTGGGTGGAGGGAACAATACGTGCAAAGCCGCAGAACTGTGAATGCATGTGATGGGCTCACATTCAGGGAACTAAAAATTGTTTGGTCATCTGGCACTTGTTAAGTGGGCTGAAAATGGAGGAGCTGGATCACATGGGAGCAGCGGGAGGTGCCGGATCAAGGGGCCCTGAGCCATGTGTTAAAGATTATGTCCTAGAAGCCAGAGATTCCACTTCCCCTCTCCCCATCGGTAAATAGGGGTCATAGTGGTGCCTTTCTCCTAGTGTTGGGGGGATTAAGTGAGCTGATAGCGGAAAGCACCAGAATCAGTGCCTGCCACATAGTAAACGCTACACAAGACCTGGCTGCCATTAATAAGTAAGTCGGTGCTTCTGCAGCATCTGGTCTAGGAAGAGAGGAATACAAACACATCCATTCCCCAAATACAGAGACGGAGGTGTTGAAGGTGAATAAAGGTTCCCAGGGAGAACGTGTAGTGAGGAGGTGGGATTTGAACCCAGGGTTGGTCCACCCTATCACACAGCTACCAAGCAGGGAGAGAAATCTAAAGACGTCCTACCCACCGCGGGAGGGCAGTTGGCCCGGCAACTCCTGCAGCCAGATGCTTCCCAGAGGAGGTGATGAGAGCAGCCCGCCTCCCCGGCGCGGGCCTCGGGGCCTCCCACCGCCACCCCAGCCTGCTCCCGTTCGCGGAGCCCTGCTTGGGCTGCGCCCGGATTGGGCTGCAGGGACGGCGAGTGCGCCTGCCTGCTCAGCCCACGCAGCTGCTGCTCCGACGCCAACTCCGTGGGCGCCTGGGGTTTGCGTCTTGCTCTGGCCCAGGTTAAATGCCAGGCGTCGGCCGCCTTTGTGACGCGCAGCCACCTGCAAGGCTCTGCTCCTGCCCCCAGCTCGCAGAGCCCCAAACCTGCAGTTTCCAGGTCAGTCGATCCCATGTGCAGAGGGTGAGACGGGCGGTGCTGGGAGGCTGGGGCGGCGCTCCGGGCGAGGATGGCATACCCCCTGCCCTTCCTTCTGCACACAGGGAAGAGTTTGGGTCCGAACTTGGGGCTCAAGTCCCGTTCAGTTTCCTGCCTTTCCCATCCTGACCCAACCCTGGGTTTCTTTCGAAGCTGCCGCTGCGTGCTCAGCCCTAGGGTTCACTTTCCTTTTTTTAGACAAGGCTCCCCGACAAAAGCCCTTAAGGACCTGACTTACCCGGGCAAAGCCAAAACTGAGAACTGCTTCCACGGTTTTGGTCAAGGAAGACAGGAATACAAACATATCCACTTCACAACTCCCGAAACGGTGGTATTGCAAAGCAGTTTGGCAAGATCTCAAATCACTTAAAACAGAACCACCATTCTGCTAGTGGCTGAACGAATTTACATTCCCACCAGCAGTGTGTAAGTGTTCCCCTTCCTTTGCAACCTCACCAGCATGTTATTTTTTGACTTTTTAATAACAGCAATTCTGACTGATGTGAGATAGTATCTCATGGTGGTTTTGATTTGCATTTCTCTAAAGATGTTTCCCAGTGAGAACATGTAGTAAGTGGGGAGGTGGGATTCGAACCCAGGGTTGGTCCACCATATCACACAGCTGCCAACCAGGGAGGGAAATCTAAAGATGTCCTACCCACACCTATTTTCCTCCCCTGGCAGAGGCAGGGGCCCTAATGGACTCCCCTCAAAGCCCAGGCAGAAAGGTGGGAGTGTGCTGTTTGCTGCTGGGTAGGTTGCATCGCTAGGCTTCCCCCAGCCACTCTCCCTGCCCAAAGCCTTCGAAGATGCCCCTCTCCACTTCACTGGGCTCTTCCCCACTGTCCCAGCCTCATTGTCCCTCCCTCCCTGAACGTCTTCTGCTCCCCTTTCCCTGCTCACTGCCTCATCCTGGGGTCCAGGCTGCTCCCATCCCTGGCCCTGTAAACCAATGTGGAATCCAAAGAAAGATGGACAAGCAGCTTTTAGAGAGGTATTTTTATTCTTTGGGGACAAAGCTGGGTTCTGTAGGTATCCAGGCTGTAGGGCCCAGAGGCTTAATCAGAATTTTCAGGCAGAACTAGGACCTTCCTTTTCTCCCCTTGGTTTATTTGTCGTCCTTGGGCAAACAAATGTCTTTGTTCAAAAGAAGGGAAATAGTCCAAACCTTTTAACTTTTGTTTTAGGTTCAGGGGTACATGTGCAGGTTTGTTATATAGGTAAATCGCATGTCATGAGGATTTGGTGTACAGATTATTTCATTATCCAGATAATAAGCCTCATACCAGATAGGTAGTTTTTCAGTCCTCACCCTCCTTCCAGCCCCAGGGTCTGTGGTTCCCTTCTTTGTGTCTCTGTGTACTCAATGTTTAGCTTCTACTTATAAGTGAGAACATGTGGTATTTGGTTTTCTGTTCCTGCATTAGTTCATTTAGGATAACGGCTTCCAACTCCATCCATGTTGCTGCACGGGACGTGATCTCATTCTTTTTTATGGCCGCATAGTATTCCGTGGTATATATGTGCCACATTTTCTTTATCCAGTCTACCACTGATGGACATTTAGTTTGATTCCATGACTTTGCTATTGTGAATAGTGCTGCAGTGAACATTCATGTATATATGTCTTTATGATGAATGATTTATATTCCTTTGGGTATATACCCAATAATGGGATTGCTGAGTTGAATGGTAGTTCTAAGTTATTTGCAATATTGCCAAACTGCTTTCCACAATACCTGAACTAATTTATATTCCCACCAGCAGTGTATAAATGTTCCCTTTTCTTTGCAACCTCACCAGAATCTGTTATGACTTTTTAGTAATAACTATTCTGACTGATGTGAGAGTATCTCATTGTGGTTTTGATTTGCATTTCTCTAATGATAAGTGATGTTGAATGTCTTTTTCATACGCTTGTTAGCCACATGTATATCTTTTGAAAAGTGTCTATTCATGTCCTTTTTCCACTTTTTAATTAGGCTTTTTGCTTGTTGGTGTATTTAAGTTCCTTATAGATTCTGGATATTAGACCTTTGTCAGATGCAGAGTTTGCAAATATTTTGTTCCCATTTTATGGGCTGTTTACTCTGTTGATAGTTTCTTGTGCTGTGTAGAGTCCTTTAGTTAAATTATGTCGCATTTATCAATTTTTGCTTTTGTTGCAATTGCTTTGAACATCTTTGTCATGAAATCTTTGCCCGTTCCTATGTCCAGAATGGTATTGCCTAGGTTATCTTCCCAAGTTTTTACAGTTTGAGGTTTTACATTTAAGTCTTTAATCCATCTGGAGTTGATTTTTGCATATGGTGTAAGGAAGGCGTTCATTTTCAATTTTCTGCATGTGGTCAGCTGATTATCCCAGTACCATTTATTGAATGGGGAGTTCTTTCCCCATTGCTTATTTTTGTCTAAGATCAGATGATTGTAGGTATGTAGCTTTATTTCTGGGCTCTCTATTGGGTTCCATTGGTGTACGTGTCTGCTTTTGTACCAGTGCCATGTGGTTTTGGTTACTGTAGCCCTGTAGTATAGTTTGAAATTGGGTAATGTGATGCCTCCAACTTTGTTCTTTTTGTGTAGGACTGCTTTGGCTATTTGGGCTTTTTTTGTTCCATATAAATTCTAAAGTTTTTTTTTTTCTGATTCTGTGAAGAATGTTATTGGTAGTTTGATATGAATACCATTGAATCTGTAAATTGCTTTGGGCAGTATAGCCATTTTAACAATATTGATTCTTCCTATCCATGAGCATGGAATGTTTTTCCATTTGTGTCATCTCCAATTTCTTTCAGCAGTGTTTTGTAATTCCTGTTGTAGAGATCTTTCATCTGCCTAGTTAGTTGTATTCCTAGACATTTTATTCTTTTTGTGACGATTGTGAATGAGATTGCATTCTTGATTCGCTCTCAGCTTGGATGTTGTTGGTGTATAAAAATGCTACAGATTTTTGTACATTGATTTTGTCTCCTGAAAGTTAGCTAAAGTTGTTTATCGGATACAGGAGCTTTTGGGCCAAGACCATGGGGTTTTCTAGATATAGAATCATATCGTCTGCAAACAGAGATACTTTGGCTTCCTCTCTTCCTATTTGGTTGCCTTTTATTTCTTTTTCTTGTCTGATTACTCTGGCAAGGACTTTCAGTACTACGTTGAATAGGACTGTGTTGAGAGTGGACATTTTTGCCTTGTTCTGGTTCTCAAGGGGAATGCTTCCAGCTTTTGTTCATTCAGTTTGATATTGGCTGTGGTTTGTCATAGATGACTCTTATTATTTTGAGGTATGTTCCTTCAATGCCTGGTTTCTTGAGGGTTTTAAACATGAAGTCATGTTAAATTTTATCAAAAGCCTTTTCTGTATCTATTGAGATGATATATACGTTTCGTTTTTAGTTCTGCCAAACCTTTTCTTTTAAAGCCCAATGAATAAAACCCATCATTTTTCACAAGACCACCACAGCAAGTAGGCAGGAAAGCCAATGTTAAAAGTGAAATCTTCTGAATTTGTAGTACCTTTTCTTTTCCAAATCTAGCTCAAATTTCTCACTTGTTTTCCTTTCGATGAAGCTAACCACCAGCATTTCTCCTAAGAAATGGATATAAAAACGTCTGATATGGTTAAAGTGGGAAGTGTTAGTTCCTAGAATATCTCTGGATATTGCTGTTCCTCATTACAGAGCATGAGCCCTGCCCAAAGTCTGGGGTGTAATGGCATAGAAAAGGTCAGGAGCCCACTGAGCCAGGAGTATAAGAGGCTTGGGACAAAGTTTAAAAGGGGCCTGTTGCTATCACGGGGTGGAGGGACAGATGGGAGAACACTTACACCATGGAATCTTATGCAGCCATTAATAAGAACAAGCCACATTGTTTGGCTTGTAAGGATTTCCTTGGGTATTGCTGAATCCTAACATTAGGATGCAAAGAAATGTTGGCTGGGCACGGTGACTCATGCCTGTAATCCCAGCATTTTGGGAGGCCGAAGCAGGCAGATCATCTGAGGTCAGGAGTTCGAGACCATCCTGGACAACATGGTGAAACCCAGTCTCTACTAAAATACAAAAATTAGATAGCCATGGTGGTGGGCACCTGTAATCTCAGCTACTCAAGAGGCTGAGATAGGAGAAGCCCTTGAACCTGGGAGCCAGAGATTGCAGTGAGCTGAGATCCTGTCACTGCACTCCAGCCTGGGTGACAGAGCAAGACTCCATCTCAAAAAAAAAAAAATGTGGAGAAATGTATATAATAGGACTGTAAATGTGTATGTTTGTATGTGGTTATATAAGAAATTGCTAAATAAAATACAGGGTGCCCGAGTTAAATTTTAATTTCAGCAAAACAATCACTGCATGGAACATACTTATACTAAAAACAATCTGTTTCTCTGAAATTCAAATTTGACCGAATGTCCTGTATTTTTATTTGCTAAATCTGGCAACTTTGTTATATAAGGATGGAGAAAATTGTGAGAGGAAATATACCAAATTGTGGGAGGCAAGGAAAAATGGCACTAGTAACACCCCCAGCAAATATGAAATTAGCCAGTTTTTATAAAATGATATGCTTATGTGCATACATGGATGCATAAGGAAGTTAGAAAAAAGGGTTTCGGTCTACTAAGTCTTTTTTGTAAGGAGCATGCATCATACACCAAGTGAAAAAGGCAAGTGGCAGAGTAGTAAGTATAGTAAGATAATGTGTGCGGAAAAAGAAACAATTAAAACCCAGTATATGCTTGTTTAGATTCGTAAAAACAAAGGTAGAACTTTGAAAAGATGCCCATAAAGCCGTCGAAATTGGTATCTCAGTGTATGGGGTTGGGGAAGTAGGGTTAGCTTTGCTTTTATACTTCTTTATATGGTATTATGTCATCTAGCTCCGCAAAATCTAGTATTTTTGTATTTCGAAAAATAAATGAACTCCAGGCAGCCAGTCTGGAGCGGAACAGCATAAACTTTGGAGCTGTATATATGTGGACTCAGGCTGGATTCTGCCACTCCAATTGTATAGTCCTTGGGAAGGTACTTTACCTTGTCTGTAAAATGGGGATAAAATACATACCTATTGTTTATGATGAAGATTATAAAGAGCTCTGCATTTTAACTGGCACATAATGGTTAACAACCTCTAATGCCAATTGCTATTATTACTAGAAAATAACCTAGGATGTAAAAATCAGGATATTCAGTGAGATGCCTGTAAGCCCTGAATTGCTTGAAGCAAACTTTGATCTGCTGGAGATAAGCCATCAACTGGCTTAGGATCTTGACTGAGACATCTCATCTCTGAGCCTCAGTGCCATATCTACACCATGGGAGGGACCAACTGGGTATCCTCTGCTTCTTTCATTTACTCAACAGTTTTGGAGCACTTGCTGTGTGTCAGTCCCTGGCCTAGGAGCTGGAGACACAGAGATGAGAAACTGTGGCTCGACCTTCAAAGGTGACTCAGTCTCGGAGGTGATGCAAATAAACCAGGTGGTGAGTGCTATGAGAGAGTGCATTTGGATACCCAGAGAAGTGGGAGATAGAGAAGGGCCACATTTGTGAATATCTTTCAGGTCTTAGATTTTTTAAAGATACTGTACATATGGTTCACAACCAGGTAAGCAAAGAACAGAGGCTGAGTACCTGATGTTGATTTAGGATGGGCAGGGGAAGCAGGATGCCACACTGAGAACATCTCCTCAGAATGTCATAGGCTGCTTCATCTCCAACAGGGGAGGTGGTCCTGGGCTTGGGCTCTGACATCCAAAGTGGATCCAAGGTTTTGCTTTTGCCTCTTGGTGTTTTCTTTGATGAACTTTCAGAATGAAGTGGAAATCTGTTTATACTTTTTGCCTTTGGATGGACATCTTTCTCCATTGTGGAAGTTTGGTTTTCAGCAGCTTGACTTGGAAGAGATGAAGGAAGAATTTTTGGCTTTCCAACAGGAAAGTGTTTCTTAATCTCTGAGTCTGGACAACATTGACCCTGCAATTGTGAATAATATATCAAATTTTAAAACGACTTCAGCTTTCATGGTCAGAAAATATGGTAGACTAGATAACACAAAACATCCCACTGTAAACATTTTTATATGCTGTATAAAATGTGACAAAACATTCAATTTAATACCCGGCTTTGTAGGAAAGAAAGAAAATTTTGCATTCCAGGAATGAAGGTCTGACTGGTTGCTATGGTTTGAATGTGTCGCCTCCAAAATTCAGGTGTTGCCAATGTGATGGAATTAAGAGGCAGGGCCTCTGGGAGGTGATTAGGTCATGAGAGTGCCTCCCTTGTTAACAGGATTAGGGTCCTTATAAAAGAGGCTTCATGAAGCATTTGGCTACATCCTTCTACTCTTTTGCCTTCTACCATGCTAGGAGGCAACAGGAAGGTCCTCACCAGACACCAAGTGCTGGTGACTTGTTCTTGAACTTCCAGCCTTCAGAGCTGTTAGAAATAAATTTCTGGGAGATCCAAGATGGCTGAATAGAAAGAGCTCTTGAGTGCAGTTCCCAGCGAGAACAATGTAGATGTTTAGTGATCACCACATTTCCAAACAACTTTTTACTGCCCACAGACCAGGAATTCTCGGGCCGAAAAGTGCCACAAATTTCCAGCATGGCTGTTTCAGCTGGGGCACTGTGGGTTTCCACACAAAAACTCACACAAATCTGGATATCCATTTCAACTGGCACCTGGAACACCTGGGAGACAGAGCTGCCCATTCAACTGAAAAAGAGGGGGCTAAAACAGGGAGTCAGGTGATACGGCTTGGCAGGTCCCATCCCTACAAAGACCAGCAATCTGAAATGCTCTGGATTGAGAGTTTCACAGCAAGCACAGCTGGACCAGAGACTGTCCAGCTCTGTGGGGGAAGGGCATCCGCCATTACTGAGGCAGTCCACCACTACCGAGGCAGTCCCTCATTACCCAGGCGGTCTGCCATTACTGAGGCAGACCATCATTACTGAGGCAGTTGTAACTGTATCTCTGTAAACAAAACTGCAAGGAAATTTACACAGCAGCTGGGCAGAGCCCATGGCAGCTCAGCAATGCCTCCGCTGGCAGACTGTGACTAGACTACCTCCTTGCTGGGCAGGGCATCTCTGAAAAAAGGCAGCAGCATGTCAGAAACTTATAAATAAAGCCCCACCATCCCAGGACAGAGCACTTGGGAAAAAAAGGTGGTTATGAGTTCTGATGCAGCAGACTTAAACATACCTGCCCAGCAGCTCTGAACAGAACAATGGAGCTCCCAGCACAGCACTTGAGCTCCTATGTGGGACAGACTGTCTCCTTAAGCAGCTCCCTGACCCCTGTATATCCAGAAACACCTCATAAAGGAGAGCTTAGGCTGACATCTGGCAGGTACCCTTCTGGGATGAAAATAACAGAAGAAGAAACCAGCAGCACCCCTTACTGTTCTGCAGCCCTTGCAGGTGATCCCCAGGCAAGCAGGGTTGGTAGTGGACCTCCAGCAGTCCTACAGCAGAGGAGCCTGACTGTTAGAAGGAAAACTAAAACACAGAAAGAAATAGCTTCAACATTAACCAAAAGGATGTCCACTCAGAGACCCCATCCAAAAGTCACCAACTACAAAAACCACAGGTAGATAAAGCCACTAAGAGGGGAAGAAATCAGAACAAAAAGGATGAAAACACCCAAAACCAGAATGCCTCTCCTCCTCCAAAGGATCACAATTCCTCACAAGCTAGCGATCAAAGATGGATGGAGAATGAGTCTGATGAATTGACAGAAACAGGCTTCAGAAGGTGGGTAATAACAAACTTCTCTGAGCTAAAAGAACATATTTTAACCCAGTGCAAAGAAACTAGGTTTCTTGAAAAAAGGTTAGACGAAATGCTAATGAGACTAAACAGCTTAGAGAATAATATAAACGACTTAATGGAGCTGAGAAACACAACACGAGAACTTTGTGATGCATACACAAGTTTCAATAGCCCAATTGACCAAGCAGAAGAAAGGATATCAGAGATTGAAGATCAACTCAATGAAATAAAATGACAAGGCAAGAATAGAGAAAAAAGAGTGAAAAGAAATGAACAAAGCCTCCAAGAAATATGGGATTATGTGAAAAGACCTAATCTACATTTGATAGGTGTACCTGAATGTGACAGAGAGAATGAATCCAAGCTGGAAAACACTCTTCAGGATATTATCCAGGAGATCTTCCCCAACCTAGCAAGGCAGGCCAACATTCAAGTCCAGGAAATAAGAGAACACCACAAAGATATTCCTCAAGAAGAGCAACCCCAAGGCACATAATCATCAGATTCACCAGGGTTGAAATGAAGGAAAAAATGCTAAGGGCAGCCAGAGAGAATGGCCGGGTTACTGACAAAGGGAAGTCCATCAGACTCACAGTGGATCTCTCAGCAAAATCACTACAAGCCAGAAGAGAGTGGGGGCCAATATTCAACATCTGTAAAGAAAAGAACTTTCAACCTAGAATTTCATATCCAGTCAAATTAAGCTTCATAAGCAAAGGAGATATAAAATCCTTTATGAACAAGCAATTGCTGAGAGATTTCATCACCATCAGGCCTGCCTTACAAGAGCTCCTGAAAGAAGCATTAAACATGGAAAGGAACAACTAGTACCAGCCACTCCAAAAATGTACCAAATGGTAAAGAGCATCGACACAATGAAAAAATTGCATCAACTAATGGGTAAAACAACCAGCTCGCATCAAAATGGCAGGACCAAAATCACACATAACAATATTAACCTTAAATGTAAATGGGCTAAATGTCCCTAACCAAAAGACACAGACTGGCAAATTGGATAAAATGTCAAGACCCATTGGTCTTGCTGTATTCACGTGTAAGGAAACACATAAGCTCAAAAAAAAAGGGATGGAGGAAGATTTATCAAGCAAATGGAGAGAAAAAAAAAAAGCAGGAGTTGCAATCCTAGTCTCTGATAAAATAGACTTTAAACTGACAAAGATCAAAAGAGACAAAGAAGAGCATTACATAATTGTAAAAGGATCAATGCAACAAGAAGAGCTAACAATCCTAAATATATACACACCCAATATAGGAGCATCCAGATACATAAAGCAAGTTCTTAATGACCTACAAAGAGACTTAGACTGCCACACAATAATAGTGGGAGACTTTAACACTCCACTGTCAATATTAGACAGATCAACATGACAGAAAATTAACAAGGATATCCAGGACTTGAACTCAGATCTGGACCAAATGGACCTAATAGACATCTACAGAACTCTCCACCCCAAATCCACAGGATATACATTCTTTTTAGCACCACATGGCACCTACTCTAAAATTGACCACATAGTTGGAAGTAAATCACTCCTCAGCAAATGCAAAAGAATGGAAATCATAACAACCTCTCAGACCACAATGCAAATCAATTAGAACTCACGATTAAGAAAACTAGTTCAGAACTGCATAACTTCATGGAAACTGAACAACTGGCTCTTGAGTGTCGACTGGATAATCAATGAAATGAAGGCAGAAATAAAGATGTTCTTTGAAACCGATGAGAATGAAAACATAATGTACCAGAATCTCTGGGACACATTTAAAGCAGTGTCTAGAGGGAAATTTATTTTTATTTTTATTTTTTTTGAGATGGAGTTTCGCTCTTGTTACCCAGGCTGGAGTGCAATGGCGCGATCTCGGCTCACCGCAACCTCCACCTCCTGGGTTCAGGCAATTCTCCTGCCTCAGCCTCCTGAGTAGCTGGGATTACAGGCACGTGCCACCATGCCCAGCTAATTTTTTGTATTTTTAGTAGAAACGGGGTTTCACCATGTTGACCAGGATGGTCTCGATCTCTTGACCTCGTGATCCACCCGCCTCGGCCTCCCAAAGTGCTGGGATTACAGGCGTGAGCCACTGCGCCCGGCTAGAGGGAAATTTATAGCAATAAATGCCCACATGAGAAGTGAGGAAAGATCTAAAATCGACACCCTATCATCAAAATTGAAAGAGCTAGAGGAGAAAGATCCAAAAAACTCAAAAGCTAGCAGAAGACAAGAAATAACTAAGATCAGAGCATAACTGAAGGAGATAGAGATACAAAAAACCCTGCAAAAAATCCATGAATCCAGGAGATGTTTTTTTTTAAAAGATCAACAAGATAGGCCACTAGACAGATTAATAAAAAAGAAAAGAGAGAAGAATCAAATAGATGCAATACAAAATGATAAAGGGTATATCACCACCCATTCCACAGAAATTCAAACTACCGTCAGAGATTACTACAAATAACTCTATGCACATAAACCAGTAAACCTGGAAGAAATGGATAAATTCCTGGACACTTGCACCCTCCCAAGCCTAAACCAGGAGGAAGCTGAAACCCTGAATAGACAAATAACAAGGGCTGAAATTGAGGCAGCAATTAATAGCCTACCAATCAAAAAAAGCCCAGGTTGTTGTTTACAGCCGAATTCTACCACATGTACAAAGAGGAGCTGGTACCACTTCTTCTGAAACTATTCCAAACAATCCAAAAAGAGGGAATCCTTCCCAAATCATTTTATGAGACCAACATCATCCTGATACCAAAACCCAGCAGAGACTCAGCAAAAAAAGAAAACTTCAGGCCAATATCCATGATGAACATAAATCTTCAATAAAATACTGGCAAACATATTGCAACAGCACATCAAAACCATCATGATTAAGTAGGCTTCAACCTGAGGATGCAAGGCTGGTTCAACATATGCAAGTCTATAATGTAATCCACCACATAAACAAAACCAAACACAAAAACCACATGATTATCTCAATAGATGCAGAGAATGCCTTTGACAAAATTCAACAGCTCTTTATGCTAAAAACTCTCAATAAACTAGGTATCAATGGAATGCATCTCAAAATAATAAAAGTTATTTACAACAAACCCACAGCCAATATCAGACTGAAAGGGCAAAAACTGGAAGCATTCCCTTTGAAATCTTGCATTAGACAATGATGCCCTCTTTT